CCCCAAAACCCCAAAACCCCAAAACCCCATATTATTTTATTATGGTTGACTCAATCATATTTCATAAATATTTCTGTCCGGGCCTTCATTAAATGTTGATTCAAAAACTCTTCTGTGAAAACCAAGAATTTCAAAGCGCGTCTCTGCTCGGCAGGCTTTAGAATAGATAGCTCCATCAAGTTTTGGCGAGTATATGGGCTAATTGAGTTTGGACTAACTTATAATTAAGAGTACAATACTTGTCAGACCTTCTTTGAAATTTCAGTTATCATTCTTGACTTGTGGCTAGACTGTTGCCAGAAATAGCACAGGGGCAATAGCTCTGAGTATAAGAAGACTCAGCTAATTATTGAGAATTCAATCCCTTAAGCTAAGTTCTCAGCAATCATCATACTTATCACTGTACTTTTAAGCCAATTTTATTTCTAAGCAATAAGATAGGAAAGGTTATTTTATTAATTCTTATAGACAGGCATCAGTTTCCGAACCTGATTCGAGCATGAAGTCACGATATTAAGCCAAGACTTACTCTTAAAGACTTGCAAGTTATCTCAAAGGAATAGTGAACGCCCAAGATTCTGCATAATTCCATCTAGTTCTCCTGCAACTAATAATTTTTGTTCGATCCAAATTTTCTTAAGCTAATTTTCAACGAGATGTATCCTTAATCACTCAGCTAAATAAAAGTTTTATTGCAGTTAAACCCTGGAGAAATCTCATGGCCTACCATATAGTTGGAAGCCACATTTCATTTCTGAACTGATCTTCGATATCTGGATGCAAGAAAGTTGCCAGATAAAGGTTAAGGAAAGTTTAGTCTTACCAGGTCTGTCTGATTTGGCTCCGGTGGTTATTAGCATGCTCAGGTTGTGATCTCAGGGTAGATCCTCAGAGTGTTAATATAGCATCTTAATTTTGTAATCAGCTCTATTATTTCAAAATTTATGGGTTTTAATCTTGATCAGCCAAGGAATCTTGTTGTTAATTCATAATACTAATCCAAATGATTTGAGACCTTAATTGGTCCAATAGCCTTAAGAGTTTTGTTATCTTTCTCAAAAATTTTCTTCAAAAAGTGTTTCAAAACAAAGTTTGTAGGTTATGAATTTTTCAAACGGAAGCTCTCAGTCCTTTTAAAACAACAATAACTAGCCAAATATAATAAAACCGCTCCTTAATTTGTCCTTTTGACAGAAATCGCATGAGAAAAAGATAGCCGTTAAGCTGTCATAATTTCTAATTTCACATCATACCTTCAAAATCTTCAAAATGTAAAATGTGGAATTTGCTCTGTACGATTAGAAGACTAATCATTCCACTGTGGAAAATGCCCCAAATTAACTGTTGGTGAAGCCTTACCAGAACAGCATTTGTCACTCTTAGAAGTGAGCAGGCATAACTAGGCATGCATAAAGCAGCCAATATTGATACCAAAGTCTTCTCACAATCAAAAATTTCTAGCCAACTGGCCTACCCAAAGTCCTTTCTGGCAACAATTAGGAATAAAGTATTAATTTAAATTTATCAGAATCAAAAAGGCTCTGGATATCCCAAGAATTATGGCTCTCACGACTCCTGATACCTAAGCCGGCTGGTCTTTGCAGAGAAGCATTAGCTCATCCAGAGTCATGTGTGCATACCTTTTGTTAGTCTGAACTCCAAAGTCTGTTCATGGTTAAGCTCACTTTCTTCCATATATTCTAATGTCATTGTTACTGACCGAAATTCTTGCTGGCAGACTTTTTAGAAATTATAGGGTCATAATAATCGGCAGCCAGACTTAATCCTGCGTCGATAGTTGCCTAAAAAGAACACATTCACATAATGCCGAGCCCAAACCCACAAAAGAGTCAAGAGGAAAGCTTAATGAAACTTTATAATAAATTAGATGTTCTTGCTGGCTTTCTTCCTGCTGATTTTAAGTACTGCTGCTCTAGCTGCTCAGTTGTCTTCCCTGGGAAATAATAGAGCAAGGAGGTGAAATCAATATCTCCCTCCTGGCTCTGCAACTTCACTAGGTCTCTGAGCAACCTTGCATCTCTGACAGAGAAAGTTGGGTCATTCGCATATTTGGAAATCCTCTTGAGAAGATCCTCCTTTCTACTGTTCCTCCACTTTATTGCTTCTGAGAGTTTGTCGAGTACCTGCTGGGCACTCTCCACAAGAGGTTTTCTGACAGAGCAGAAGTTGGAGAGAGACACTCAGTGGGTGTCTCAGAGTTCTCTGAGTATGCGGAACATCTCTATAGAACAGATTAGCCAACTCGAGCATCAAGCGAGTAGTCCAATAAGGATTTGACCACGAATGATTCTGGGAAACTGATTTGACAATGGGAGGCTTACCTCTATCATGCTTTTTCGAGAACCTGACTCTCTTGTTAAATCAAAATGAGCTGAAGTTTTCTCCATTTTTGATAGCCTCAGCTTGTGATATTGGAGGCAACTCTGGCTGAAGAACAGATTCTGAGTCTCTTCCTTTGGCTGACTTGTTTTTGACCATAATTTGTCCAGTTTTATTGTCAAGGTAAGCCTCGATAGATATGATTCCAGTTTCTTTTCTGAGAATCTTCAAGAGGTGATCAGTTTTGGAGAATAAGTCCACTCCTGCAAGAATTGAACTCTGTACATTGGAGATCTCAGACAAGCTTGGCTTCTTGTCAGACTCTTGAACAAACATTCCAGGGTCTCCTAACTCAAAGAAAGGGTTCTTTTCTGGGCCAGTCTGGGACTGAGTATTGCCCATATGTCCTATGTCAAACAAGTCAACTTCTTGCTGTCACTCTTGCCCAAACATGTATTGGTAGTCTGGCTGGTCTCTGAAAAAGTTTCCTTGATAGTTAAAAAACATTGGAAGATATTATTTTATTATGGTTGACTCAATCATATTTCATAAATATGGGGTTTTGGGGTTTTGGGGTTTTGGGGTTTTGGGG